ATTTGTTTTTGATAAATTTTAGTTTGATACGTTTTCCCATGAGCTTCTCAGTTTTCAAAGCGACGGAGACTTTTCAGTTTTCAAAGTTAAGACTAAAAGCGAAAGAGACTGTGTACGTATTCTTCTAAAAGTGACTTCTGATTTTTGGGCTTATTTTGGATTCAAGAAATTGATTTCAAGCATTAGGGAGTTCAAGCATCTATACTCTATCGATCAAGATCCAGTATTCCTTCTTTAGAAATTGATATTATGCAAATCAAAATATATGATCTGTCTCTCGACTTTGATTTCACGCAACGGTTTCGTTGTAGGTCTAGATCACGGTTTGCATATTAGGTTCACATTGTTTTTTTCATGGAATACTTTTGGTTTATGAGTTTTTTAGGTGAGCTAAACTAAAATATTCATGCCTTGGGTTAGAAAGCTGGCTAATTGTATTTTTGATCGATTGTTCTCAAAACTCCCTCGTCAAAAGGTAATTTCTTGGACGATTGATATCTAGAATTTATTTTTGGTTTATTGAATATATTCCCTCTTGATTAATTCCTCTATTCTTAGCAAATCGAGTTCCAAATTTTCGAGGGAATTTCTTAATACCATGGAATCAAAATACTTATTTCTTCATTTTGAGTTACTTGTTCTTGGTATCAATGTGTTTTTTGTGGGTAATTGATAATGTACAGGGTTTTCATAGCTGATTGGCATGAGGTTTAAAGTGCTTCTTGGTTTGCCGATTTACATTTATCAAATCTACCTTGTTATTTAAGTTCTGTCTCCACAGCTCACACACGAGTGGCTACATATTGCAATGGGCAAACATGTAAAAATAAGTATATTTTTTAAATTGTTCCTGCTATCATAGTTCATGCTTCCTGATGTTAATTTGTTTTTAACTTGTTGCAAAGAGCAAACATGGAAAATATGTATTTTTTTGTAGGTTTGTAGCTGATGGCTTATAATATATTTTTATTTCCTCTGTCCTAATTTTGGACCTTTGTTTACAAAATAAAAAAAATGATCATATTCTGTGTATTGGTATTATTATATACACTTATTAATATATTATTGTAAAAAACAAAAAGATCGGAACGTCATATTAATATATTATCGTAAATAACTAAAAGTATATGTGACATCTATACAGTATCCCCGGTAAACCGAACCGAACAACCCGAAACCAATTAAAAATTGATTAAACCGACCAAAAACCACCTTTACAAGGGCCTCGTTTTTCTTTTTGCCCCGGGCCTCAAATCAACTTGGACCGGCCCTGAGCGTAGCAGATTTAAAACTACATTTTTCAATGAATATAGCAGCATATAGTTATTGGTATATTTGGTTTTCTTTTTTTTTTGGTTTAAAATAGTTATTTGTGATAATTAATAAAAATAATATAATTAATATAACTATGAACATAAAAATATTTTTAATGTTTATGTCGAATATATGATTAACACCCCCCCCCCCCCCCCCCCCCCCCCCCAATAAGTGTTATAAAAGTGAAGAACAATGTCAATACTTCAAATCTTCAATGGCTTGGATATATTACCAGGAAAAAAGATTGCTAAATATACAAATACAACACTCAACATTCAACAGTCAACACGCCCGTCCGCCCATGTTCCATTCCCAAATTTGTAGAGGTCATCAGTATTCAGTAATCAGTCATGTGGAAACCCCAACTAACTTTATCCCCTAACTTACATCATAAAATAACAATATATTTAACTTTTAAGAAAAAAACTATAAAAGTTAGGAAAATCATAATTTATTATAAATTTTTTATTAAAAGAATTCATGTAAAAAATTTGTATTGTTTAAAAATATTTCATTATTTTAATTCATCATAGGTAAAAACCTTTTTATAACATTTTAACAGCATAAAACCAAGATTATTTCAATTCATACAAAAAAAAAAAAAACAAACAACTATACTAAATAAATGTAATGTCAGAAAATCACAATCTATCACAAACATCTTATTGAAAAACCCTTAAAATAACACAATTAAACAGTTTTAAAAAAGAGAAGGTTTAAATTGTCATGTATTTAATATAAGTTTTTTTTTTCAACAACATGCATATAATAAGTTCTGTTTTATGAAATTTGCCATGTATTTTATGATTCATTAACTACTATTTTGTATATATAATTATAAGTTTTAAAAAAAAATTAAGTCAAATTATATGACAAAAAATATTTTGACTCTCCTAGGTACATTCATTTATAGTTCAGTTTAATAAAACAATGATAAATCATTTATAAAATATATTACTTAAAAATCTACACAATACAATAGTTACAATAGTTATCGATATATTTTGTTAATTTTTAACTAACCTGTCTACAAAGGTTTTAATATTATTACATTTGATTGAATTTTAACTAAATTTTTTACAAATGGTTTCATGTTGTTGCATAACCTAAAATGTTAAGGAGACGATTTAAAGCCGATGCAAAAGCAACCACAATAGAAGACTTTTTTTTCTATAATTTTTTCATTAAAAGGATTAATGTGCCCCCCACAATAGGAGAGCTTTTTCAATTTAATTATTTATATTTTGTTTGTATATTTGTCTATTTACAATTAGTGAAAAACTTGGAAGAGTTTGTTAATTAACGAGCTTTTTGAAAAGCTTTAGGCTATGCTTGACGTACTAACTGAAAAATTAGTTGTTAACTGAAAAATGAGTTGATAAAAATTGACGTTTGGTTAAAACTAGATGATACGCTAGTTGAAATATATAAAATCACATAAAAATACATTTAGAAGAATAAGTTTCTTACAATTAGTTAATGGTGTATTTGGAATTTGTTTTAAAAGCTCAAGAAAAACTAAGTAAAGTAGTTTTTTTTTTAAACAGCTTCTAAACTAGTTTTTTAACTATTTTTGGCTTGCCAAACATAACGACATTAAAAAAACTCGAAAACTAAGCTGGTTGTGACATGCCAAACACAACTTTAGTTTGAAAAAAGCTTCTCAGATAACTTTTTCATTTTTATGGAATTTTTTTGGTTTGAAAAAACTCTTGAAAAAACTCATAAAAAGCTCTTATTGTGAATGCGCTAGGATGAACATTTTTAAAAGTTTTTATTGTGAATGTTCGTAGATGAACATTTTTAAAAGTGAGAAATACAACTATAGTCATTTTTCTTAATTACTTAGCAAAAAATAGTTAAAAATTAGTTTTTTCAAAAAAAAAAAAAGCACTAAAACCGCAAATGAGGCTACCTTATTTGTGGTTCCATCTAGTCGGCTTCGGTTTCATCCTGTTAGGGGAGAAAACGCTTTCAGTTTTATCATACATGTTGCGGTTTCATGGTCCATTTTCAGTTTCGCAGCCCATTAGGACATTATATTTAAACCCTAAAAAACTTGTAGCTCATTTTTTACACTCAGACTTTGATATTCTCTCTTCGATGAATGAAGAACGAAACAATATTTTAAATGATGTTTTATTTAGCTTTTTAGCATATACGCTCTGATTTACTAGTTATGTGTATGTTATTCGCCGTTTTTTTTTCTTTCATTTTTTACACTCAGACTTTGATATTCTCTCTTCGATGAATGAAGAACGAAACAATATTTTAAATGATGTTTTATTTAGCTTTTTAGCATATACGCTCTAATTTACTAATTATGTGTATGTTATTCGCCGTTTTTTTTTCTTTCAGAAAACCGGATAATATAAACAACAAAACCGGAAGATGGCATTGTCACATGCAGGGATACAAATGTATAATGCACATATTGAGCAGTACAAACTTGTACCACCGTAGATGGTAATGCCATCTTCGGTTTCGTTCTTCATACCATCCAATTTTTCTCATTTTCTTATTGTTACGTGCTATCCCCTGAACATGTACTAGTAGTAGCTTCTATGATTTTAGACTATAATATAGTAGTAAAACTTAAATTGGGATAGTAATAAAAATAAATAAATAAATTCAGGCATGAAACTGAAGCCAAGATAAGAGGAAACCCCAAAGTCAAATACCATCTACGATTTCATCATCTTAAAATGAAGATAAAATAAATTATAGAGTTTGCGAAAATCAAAGACGAGGCAATGAAACCATAGCACAGCAAACAAAAACGAAGGCATGTTTGTCCGAATTTGACGAAACCTAAGACTACACGAAACCGCAAATGAGCCCCCCTCATCTATGAGTTATGTGCCTATTTTGTAAAAACTCCTAATTTTTTGCTATTTTGTGAAAAGCCATTAAGAAATTAGATTAAATTTGTAATTCTCTTTTTAGAAATATATTTGATTAGTTATGTGTAAAGGCTACTTAAATGTAGAATTATGAGTAGTTTGAGAGTAGGTTAGTTCCAAAAAAAAATTTAAACATGACAAATAAAAAAACATGTCACTTTATGACATCATCTCCAACTATTATCCAAATGAATAGCAACTATGATATTCCAATAAAAAAAACCTATAATACATATGGCAAATTGCAGGAAATAGCAACTAACTTTACTTATTTTTGACAAATATAGACAACGCACTTTATTTTTTACCCGTAATAACAACATACTTATAATTTATACTAATAATAGCAATAAACATACATTTTCTTTACACATGATAACACTATACTTACGGTTATTTACTCATAAAAGCAACATAATTACATATTTTTTTTTACCATAATAGCACTATATAGGTATGTTATTACCACGGGTAAAGAATAGAGTTTATTAATTATATAGGTAGATCGGATTTCTTGCATCTCATAGGAAGAAAAAAAACACTCAACCCAAATATCCTTCAAAGACTACTTCACCATTTTATTAAAAATTCCAACAACTTCACGGTTTAAATTATTGTACAAAACAATAGAAAAAGAATAACGAATCTCTTTCCCATTTTCCAACATAAGAAATATAAAAAAAAAACGTAATATAAGAAACATAAAAGTTTAGAAACACGATTTTATAAAACATAAATTTTAAACCAAAAACCAAATGCAAAACTTCAACCAAAGGCATCTACATGAATAAAGCATCAATTACTTAAAAAGTGCCAACAAATCATATACATCCCCAAGCAATGTATCCTAATTGACAGCAAGTATCATGTTCAAATTATGCACACTATTGTTAAGACTTAAGAGAGGTAAAAAGACAATACTGACCCTAAGCCACTTGAAAAAATAAACCTCTTAACTACGAAGAGATGCATGAGGGACAGCAGGAAAACCAAATTCATCCACAGCCTGTAAAATTAAACAAAAATAAAAAAACACATAAATTACCATTATCAATTATCACTTGAAGCTGATTGTATTTAGAAGTTACCTGATTGTTAACTCTGCCAGCTGGCACTGCATGTCCACTTGGAGCTGAAGGCAGATTAAGTTCTTCATTCAGATCAGGCTCATTATCAGGTTGAAGATATGAAGGCACCCCTTCACCTTCAGTTTCTTGACCCATGTCTGCCTCCAAAGCATCAAGTTCTGAAACATTTCCATAAAGTGAAGTTAACATTTCAAAAAAAGAAAAATAATAATAATAATAAATTTGTGCTTACCACCCATGAGATCATCTTCATCAATATCATCTGGCACACTGTAACTTCTACCAAGAGATTCTTGTATCTCATTGCTTATATCCATCATGTCCATCATTTCATCTTGCAAATTCTAAACATAAACAAGATTAAATGGATTGGTCAGTAATTAGAAATTATCAAAACAACAAGATTCATAATAATTATACTAACATCAATGTCTTGAATCTTCACAGTCTTCATCATTCCTTTCAGCTCTTTGTTTGCTGATTTCAAAGCCGTCATCTGCAAGATACAAAATTTATAAATAAGTCTTTGAAGAAAATGCTTAATAATTGTGACACATACTGTTTGCTGAGCATCTTTAATCCCTTCTGAAGCAAATGCAACTTGATCCAGGTTGAATGTTTGATTGTACAACATGTCACGTTGTCCTTCATACCTGTCAAGAATCATTAAAGATTGATTGTATGTTAATTTACATAAGCAAATACATATATGATGTATGTATATTCACAGAGCCTACATTCTTTTTTGTTTAAGAACTCTCATTGCTCGAGCCTTCACAGCTTCTTGAGCGGGACCTGGTCTGGTCTTTTTGATCTGTTCCTTGTATCGAGCAAGTTCCCCATCAAGTCTTTTGATCTTCTCATCCACTGTTTCACCTCTTTTATTGATCTAAAACAAGTTATACAAATTTATCAGGCATACATTTTAAGAAACGATACTTGGAGTTTGTAAGAAACACTTAATGTAGATAATCCATGGTGATGGATCTACTTAGAGTTTGTATTATCATCACTGAAGGTGTATGACATATAATATTGTTTACGTTTGTTTGTTGTAACATAATTCAGTTGATATATGAAATGCAATCAATTCCATGATATAAATTTTAATTCCATGATGAGGATCACAACTATTACGCAAATAGTATGCCGATTGCATAATGCAAACTATACAGGAATCTATGTTACATGGATAAAACTTATATAAGTAAATAAGGGTTTTAAAGAGGATTTAGGATTCCTTAGCCTATCAAAGTATTATGCTGTTTTGAAATATTGGTTTCACCCCTACCTATTTAGGATTCCCAATTAGTAAGCGTAATAATAACCCCAGATACAATGATCGATCAAATTAAAACATGAAATCAAACATAATCGAATGAGATAGACAGAGAGAGTACCCGATCAGAGGCGTCATTAAGGGAAGGAGGCGGTTCCTTGTCTTTCTTAACGCCGAACACTCTCCTCATCGCTCAATTACTTCAAAACTTTCGCTGATTTTAGGGTTTTTTTCGGGTTTCAATCCCCAATTCGACAGACGCAGATGACCTACTATGAGAAGGAACAAAGTCAACGAGAGATCTTGCGTCTTCTTATCCTCCGACTGTGGGACGCGTCCCTGCGTAATTTCGTTGAATGTGATATGTACGTCTTCTTTCTTGCTGGCTTCTGATATCGTCAATCTCTCTGATCGAAAATTACAAAACCAGTCCCTTGACAGTTAGATAGTTTATAGAATTAGTCCTGTAATTTTTTAAACTGACAGTTTCTGTTTTCATTATAAAATCTTTTAACAAAGTGACACACACTTGACACTCCCTATCCTCACTGTGTTGTTCGATGAGTCGTGTTGTGTCGCACATGGATACAATGACAATCGTACACGCATTGAAAAAAAATTGTTTCCTTCGTCCACATGATAATTTTGGTTTGGATCCTTGTATTTGTATCTATGTGAGTTCTTATAATGACATTTGTTTTTATTTTTATCATTTTGGCTCTTTATTTTTTTGTTAGTCTAAGGCTATGTTTGACGTACCAGCTGAAAAGTTAGTTGATAGCTGAAAAGTTGATAACGTTTGGTAAAACTAGCTGAAAACTTAGCTGAAATATATAAAATTACATAAAAGGACATGTAAGATTATGTGTTTCTATAATTAATTAAGTGGTGTATTTGGAAAAAATTAAAAAAACTTCTAAAAAGCTAGTCTAAGTAGCTTTTCAAAAAGCTAGCTTATAAGCTATTTTTTGGCTTACCAAACACGACAACATAAAAAAGTTCGAAAAATAAGCTAGCTTATCAGCTAGCTGTGGCGCGCCAAACACAACCTAAGTATTTTTATACTAATTTTCTTTTGTTTCCGTTTTCATAAGGGATAATGACTTAAAAGGATAATATATTTTTTGAATTGTGTACATTTAGTCATTAAGTTTTTTTTTTTGTCAATAGTTTCCTATTGAACTTGTTGAAATGTTCAAATAACATCCTTATGACTTGCTATCGGAGGTTTAGCCGGTTTTCGGCGTATTTGACAGCTACGACGAGTCTCCAGCATTTATGATTTTTCCGACGAAGATGAACACACAACATACACATCAGATCTCTTAGATTCAATACTTCTATTCCCCCTCTCTCTTTCTTATCTTTTCTCATGAACTCAAGATCTGTGATGAACACACACATACATACTCGTCAGATGAGTGTATGACTGTTGTTCCAAAATCGAGCCTGAAAACACACAAATCTGAAAATCGCTCCAGTAAACCTAGATCTGATGTTTGAGCATGAGCACATACACACGAACACTTCTGGAGATCGTTTGATTTCTGTGAAGAAGATGAACACACACACACATCGATTTTTGATTTCTGTGAAGAAGATGAACACAATGAACACACATACATACCTTGAAGATCATTTGATTTCTGGAAAAAAGATGAACATACACATAAATATTTTTTTTCAAGAACACACATCGATTTCTTTTCAAGAACTCACACATATTTTCAAAATCGAAATCTAGGAAGAAGTAGGGATGTCAAAAAGTCTCGTGGGACCCCGTTTCCGTGGGGGCCACGTCCCGTTTGGGGGAATTTTTTTAAAAAAAAATTGGGGGCGGGGACGGGGACAGGGGCGGGGGCAAGGTTAACCCCCGTTTCAATTTCGGGGGCGGGGGCGGGGGTAGGCAATCCCGTCCCGAAACCTCCATGGGGACCCCGTTAATAACTTACACATATATTTACATATATTAATTATATAAATATAACAAACAATAACATGATTTTGAGCTTCCAAAATTCATCAAAAAACATGTTTTTAAGTTGTTACGATAATGTTTTTAAGATGCCATAACTTTTTTATTTTTAACATGTAAAATTCTGCTATAAATAATTATTTATTACCTAAAAATAGCTTCTTTTAGAATAACAACTTCTTTTAGCCCAAAAAAATGCAACCCAAAATCAACCGGGGGAGGGGGCGGGGGTAATAAAGGGGATTCGACGGCAGGGGTGGGGGTAGGAAGGCTGAACATTTCGGGGGCGGGGATGGGGGAACGGGGAAATTCCTGGGGCTGGGGCGGGGGATGCATTCCCCGTCCCGTTTGCCCCCATTGACATCCCTAGGAAAAAGAAAAAACTCTCTCAATCTTCATCCGTGAACTGTCCCAAATCATTTCAATCTTCAAGTGTTTACGCCTATATTCATTCAAATCTTCATATTTCCTACCAAGAACATTCATATCCACATTCATATCTTCAAACTGTATCACCCGATTCCTGGTACGTATTTAAATTCAAGAAATATGGCAATTTACTCTGGGACTCAGCGAGTTGGGGGGGCCAACTCGTCGAGTAGACTCGACTGTTGGATCGGGGGTTTAAGTGACCTACTCGACGAGTCGGAATACCGACTCGATGAGTAGGAGCTGTTTGGACAAAACCCTAATATTTAGGGTTTGCACCCTATTTAAACACATTAACTTGTCCTAAACCAGCCTCCATCGTCCCTCTCACTTCCAGAATACCCTAACTCAAAACCCTAGCCCTTATTGTGTGTTCTTGAGCCTTTTGGTGCCTTTTGTGTGTGTGTTTGAAGTTGAAGGAAGAAGTGGAAGCTTGGGAGTTCTTGAAGAAGCAAGTGGATCTAGAGATTTTGCTCCATTTCTAGTTCATTCAAGGTAAAAAGCTTGAACCTTGACTTATCATTTGATAGATCTCTTTTAAGACTTGGATCTTGCCATTTTTGGGATATTTCTAGGCCACATTTGGGTTTGGCTCATATTGTGTGGTGTTAGCTTCAGTTATGGAACCATTGAGGGTTTCCATGGCATAAAGGTGCCAACTTTATGGCCATGGGAAGCCCATGCATCTAATAGACCCCATTTTATAGCCTTTTGAGCCAAAAACCCCATGCATGGACATCAAGTTCGTAGCTTTACGTATAAAATGGACCCTAGGAGGCCAGATCTATGGTTTTGACGCGTTAAGACCCATTATAATCGACCGTATAGTGTTAGACAAAGAGGGACTCGGCGAGTCACTTGGGTGACTCGGCGATTCTGGACGCTTCTTCCCCAAAAAACGACTTCTGGAAATGGTTTAGATTGAGTGGAAGGAACACTCAACCTGCTAGGGGTTTGTCTTGGACCTGGAAATCATAGGACTCGACGAGTGTATGAACAGGCTCGGCGAGTCCAAGGCAACCTCCCAACTTATGAAGACGGACTCGGCAAGTTCAATGAGAACTCGACGAGTCATAGACTGAACATCTTCTTATGGATGAAGATGAACTCGGCGAGTTCAAGAACGAACTCGGCGAGTCGGTTGAAGATTGTCCGATGTGTTGTTAAAGGCGAACTCGTCGAGCTCTTGCTAGACTCGACGGGTAGGGACGGGATTATGACATTTTGGTGGTTATGGGGACTCGACGAGTTGGCGGGCTAACTCGGCGACTCGAGTCAACCAGATGTTGACTTTGACCATAGATTTGACTTGGACTTTGACTAGGTTTGAGTGACCCTTATAAGGGTTATGAGTATGAGTTGATAACTTAGAAGAGTTTTCGTGTAGGGATTGAGGAGTCGGGGAAAGTTAATTTCCACGTCAAGATCGGTGCAGGCACTACACGACATCGAGGTGAGTTACCTTCCAATAGTGGTGGGTCTACGGCCACAATGCCGGCCCACTAGTAGGAGTTGTATGTTAGATGATTGTCTTTGTGATATTCATCTAGGTTTGCTGCTACCTGTTATGTTTTATGTGCTAGCATGATATGATGTTACGTGATGGTGGTAGTAGTAGGGGGAGATAGTCCCCAAGTTAGCGGCCGATAGGGCCGAATGGGTAGTTTAGTACCCAGCTATGCTAGATTATGATTACGTGATAGTATGTGATAGACCGGTCGAGAGGACCGGAGGGGTAGACCAACACCCAGATATGCTAGGCAAGGTCACCGGTCGAGAGGACCGAAAGGGTAGGCTAGTACCCAGATATGCTAGGCAAGGTCACCGGTCGAGAGGACCGAAGGGGTAGGTCGGGCACCCAGATATGTCTGGCAGTATGTATGTTATGTGTTTGTATGGTATGTGGTATGATGGGGGAACTCACTAAGCTTCGTGCTTACGGTTTTCAGTTTTGTTTCAGGTACCACTTCAGCGAAGGGGAAGGAGCCGGCGCGGTAGCGGCACATCACACTCACATATGATTTCCGCATTGAGTTTTCTGGGATTGTACTCTGATTTTTATTATTATCTGATGATATGTTTTTGAGACACGACGTAATGGTTTTATGAATTAATATAATATTAGCAATGTTTTGACAAATGATTTTACATGTTACTTAATTAAAAATGAAATTTTTAGCCTTGAAAATTGGGAGGTTACAAGTTGGTATCAGAGCCTTGGTTTGAGGGATTCGGGCACACCATTGGGGGTGTCTGGACTCAAATCGAGGGTTTGAAAGATTTTTTCAAAGAAAATAGTTTTTACCAGAATTAAAATACAAAGGTTTTAAGAAAAAGAACAAGATGTGTGATGTGCGCGACCGGCCGAGCTCAAGTAAGTTTTCTCCAAGATACCCATACATGTTATGTTACGATATGATTATGAGAACTGCATGCTAGATTAGGGCTACGGATCTAGGAAGGATGCCTTATATGCCTACTGTATATGTATGAGAACTGCATGCTAGATTAGGGCTAAAGGATCTAGGAAGATGCCTTATGTGCCTGTTATATGTGCTATTGGATTATATGTTAGAGCTGATTGGTCAATAGTGTGATGGCCTGAATAGGACATGTTTGGTATGGTTACTCAACGCTCGAATGCTGCTAGCTTCATGCTTTTAGGAGTTCTAGTTATCTTTAGCTAACTAGTAAACGAATACGTTAAGTTACATATTGCGAGGACTACATAATTTCAAAAGGTTAGGTCTAGCCCTACTGCGCAGCTCTTGTTTGAGTCTAACCGTTGTAGGGTAGGACCTCTCATTCGAAGAATTATCTGGTCTTAGTGATATGTAATGGTATTCGCGAGCTAGTTAGGTAAAGGTAGCCAGAATTCCTTATGCAGCTGATAGCGGAGGGTAGGCTGGAGAGTTACCCTAGGGTAAGCCTATGATGGGATTAGCAAGGAGAGCAGCAGTAGTAGAAGGGACTTGGTG